GAATTTAAAGTCACATTTGTACATCCCAGACAATCCCCAACCATCAAGCTAAGCTTTCCCAGGAGCAGAGAGCCAGAGCCACACTTTCATCCAGGCACTGTGACCAATGACAACCAAGGCATTTCCGAGATGGCTGATGGGAGTGAGAGGTGTATCCTTGGCCATTACTCACACTAAAGCTAAATGGAACTCCTGACCTTTGCCCCATTAATACCAAGCTCACTGAAACTAAACCAAGCAGCCTGGAAAAAGCATGCACACAGCCTCCTGCCTCCAAACACACTGCTGCAGGACCCTTTGGACATCCCTAGTGCCTGGGATGCATCGAAAACAGAAGATACTAATTCTTAAGAAAACAGTAATGCTTCCACAGCAACTCTGACTAAAAACAAACTTGGCTTTAAGAAGTACAACCCTAAGCCTCGGTTCTGCAAGCCATTACAATGTTTTACAGGTTAAAATACAACATCTTCCTTTTTAACTATCTAAAAAGCAAAGGACATGAATTCCACAGATTTATAACTCAAAACAATCTTCACATATAATCTATGATATGAGTATTTTATTCTTTCATCCCTCTATGGTAATCAGTGAATTTAGATGAAATTATTCACACTAATAAAAAGTACTTCTATTGAGTTGGGAATGGAGTTTGTTGGTACATCTATCTGAGATACATGCCTGCGGTTGCAGGTTTGATCCGATACCACAAAAATAAAAAGCGTATTATAAAAGAACCAGGGGGGGGATATATATATATATACACATACCACTTTTTACAAAGTACAATGTTAAGTCATTGTAATGAAAAGCACAAGTAATGCCTTTGAAAAGGTACAGACCTGGTCTAACCCACAGTCCAGAGCCTCAGGCATACTAAGTAAAATCTACCAATTAAACTACATCCCCAGCCTGCCTCAAGTGGATTTTTTTATCTTTGTGTTTTAGGGTTTCCATTACTTTGTTTTTGAGACAGGAACTTACTATGTAGCCCTGGCTGGCCTGGAATTCACAAAGATCTGCCTGCCTCTGCCTCCTGAGTACTGACATTAAAGGTGAGCAACAACACAGTCCAGTGGAATCAGATTTAGTGTCTGTGTCTGCCGTGGGGGGAGAGGGCATCATGGCCTGCAGGTGGAGATCAGAGAACTTGCAAAGCTGGTTCTTTCCTTCTACCATGCAGGTGCCAGGAATAGAACTTGTGTCATCAGACTTGTAGGCAAGCCCCTTTCCCTGCTTAGTCATCTCAACACTCAACTGGAATTTCAATGAACAGAACTTTTTCCTACTCCATCTGAATTTATAGTTCAAAGAAACTACACAGATTACCCACTGCGTAAAATAGTCTAGTTAGCGTTTTCTCTTTCTGTTTTAAGCAGATGCCATTTAAACACAGGCTTGGGCGGCTACACACTCCCTTGGCACTTGCATCTCCTGACAGAGAGCCAACTAGCATATCTACCTGAACCATCTACTTGTGTTCCCCCTCTAGTACATGTCTAGCTCTGACTCTCTCTGCAGACCTCCATTCCCACCTCTAAGCAGTGCCCACAGGTAAGTGTGTTCAAATCCTGGCATACCAGGCCTGGGAATCACACAAGTAATCACAGCTTCTCTAGAGATCAAGGCAGGGCTATGAATGTGAGGCTTTACCCCATCTTAAAACAATAGAACCTAATTATACAACTCGTTGCTCACAGCCTAGAAACGGTACCACCATCAACACCACGCAGACGGAAAGCGTAACTTCTATGCCTGCCTCTTGTAACCCTCTTCTATCAAGCCCCCACTCCCTACTGATGGTCGCTAGACCCTGCTGAGCCCTTGTCCTCTTCCCACTGACAACTCTCTCAGGGTGCACAGTCGATATTAATAGCTCGCCATAATAAACCCGTCTGCACACTGAGCTATCACAACGTACACATCTTGTTTTCTCCCAAACACTGGACTTCTCAATACTGCATGCAAACATGCTCCACAATCCACTCCCAACTACATTCAGACTTCATCTCTCTTTCAAAAATAAAGCACCCAGGTCGTCTGGTACCCTAACTTTTCCCTAGCTCATGGGCCTTCTCATCTCCAAAACTGTTGTCCTCTTAATTTGGAAGGCCTTCTTCATCCACCAAATCCTACCTCCGGAGTCTTTGTTTAAAAGAGTTTAACTACCAATCACCAACTAATTTCAGATTGCTAGTAAGAGCAGGATGCAATGGAATACACCTGTGACCCCAAGCACAGAGGAGGCGGAGACTTCGGATCACAAGTTCAACGTCACACTTAACTGCAAAGTGACCTACGGCAGACACAGGAGACCCTGTCTCAAAATTTAAACCAAATAAATAGAGTCCAAGTTTATTGGGAAGTACCAACTTTCCCACAAGGCAGATCTGGCTTCAAATAGAGACTTATGCTAGTCGCATAACTCTAGGGGGAGTTACTGAACATATCTGAGACTCAGATGTGAGACCCTGAGGGTCTCAACAGAAAGAAGCTTCTCCTTGTTGAGATAACATAAAAGAACTAAGTGCCCAATAAATAACAGCACTGTCCCACCCTTGAATGTTACCAGTCTCTACACTTTTCCATGATGAACATTTTCCTTTTTACTACCCCTAACTTGATATAAACACACCCATGTGGTTAAGTGTTTACACACACCTCTTTTGTTTTCAGAGGGTCTTCATTTGTTGTGAACAGGATCACTCTGGCTAACAGCTTACCATCACCTACCCTCTGTTCCTTCGCCTCCCAAAGCATGCCACACATCCAGCCAGACAGTTACTCATACTATAAACTTTTGTACAAATATACACCCCACACTAGGTTCAAATATCTAAAGACCAGCCTTAATCTTTGTGACTTAGAGTGCTGGCATAGTATTTTTCATGAAGCACTCAACATCTCCCTCCAAATTAAGTCCCAATTCCAAGGAGGTTTGGTATTCCTAGACAGTGCAATTCAATTCTTCATAATTCCAACACACCTTGGAAAACTGTCAAAACATGACTCTCAAGTTAGAATGGCTTCGCCTTTATTTGCCTCTACACGGTTCCCTACAAGTATCTGACACACAGAAAATGTGCAATATCACTTGAATTGACTCAAGCAATAGTTAAAATTTACAATGCCTGAAAGTATCTGATTTTTACAAATTTCCTTTTTTTGCTTTTTATAACTCCCATAATTTCCCCTTCAAAGTACATTATATCCAGAGTACAAATTCATAACCAAATCTAACTCGAATAATTTTCCAGACTGTTTCAACATCCAATCTTAGGCTCTGTTGAGTACTTCTACACAGGTACATAAGAGGCCACCATTTCTATCCAAATCTAAAAACTGTGCAACTAAGCTTTACTCATCTTTTTCTCACAAACTTAAAGTTCAGTATCAATAACTGAACTTGACATAGATTTGGGGATCTGGGGACATGGATCACAAGTGAAGTGCTTGCTGAGCAAGCAGGAGGACCTAAACTAGGATCCACAGGGCCCACATTAAAAACCAGGTCTGCAGCATGTGTCTGTAACCCTTGGGCCAAAATTGGGGGACACAGAGCAAACACAGAAGGAACCCTGGGACTTGATGGCCAGACTGCCCAGCCAAAACTCCAAGCTCCAGGCTCAGAGACACCCGGTCTCAAAAAATTAGTAATGATAATAGTACAATAAAAATGAAGAGAAATCTAAGACATCCAATGTTAACCTCTAACATTACTGTGAAATCTTCTTTAATGAAATGATTTTTCCTTTGCATAAGACAGTTTGTGGAACTTGTCACTTCAAACTTATCCACAATATCATCTTCCCTTCTGGTGGTAGAGAATGACACAAATACAAAAAAGGAAGAAATAGACACAGAAAAGAAAAAGTATAGACCCTAATATAAGCGTAATATGAGAACAGCAGATAAAGTCACTGGTTTGACGAAAATGACTTATGTATACTTGACACTGTGGTAACACATGTCATTTGCAACAAACCAACTTTCTAATTATAACTTAAAACTCAATGAAAGTGGAAAATATCTCCGTTATTTCCTGCAAACCTTTCACCGGTGGTCTATCATCTAAACTCCATTTACTAACACTACCTACAAGATTTTCTCGTCTAGAAAATTCTCAGTTCATTCGAGCTACACACTCTAAACGTTTAAATCAACAAACACACACCACTGTCCAGCTGTGGGAACCTCCGGGGCGTTGCAGCAGCCAACAGCTGAACTATACAAAGCAGCTCTGAGGAGAAACTGAGGACATTTTTTTTAAAAGCTCAAGAAATGACAGTTCCAGGTATGAAAGTAAACAAATCTGGGGTAGGAAAGGGTACCGTCCTCCAGCCCTTTGCAGTCAACTTGTGCTACGTCCCGGATGAACTCTTACAACTGTGACTTCGGCTGGGCTCGGGAATTCGGGAAGGCTGATTTAGAGAATAGCATCTTTTTTGCTTTTTAACGTCAGCAAGAACACGGGAGAAACTCATCTGAATTTACGACTCTCCTCCGCTTGTTTTGGTTTTGTTTTGTTTTGTTTTGCTCTAAGGAGCGACTTCAAACAGTTTCAGCTCTCGGTGGCCCTGGGCGGACAATCGGCGGCCCTGACGCAGCTCTGGATGCGTGAAAGCCCCTGCACCAGACCGCCCGCCAGCATCCACGCAGGGAGCGCCCCACCCTGGGGCTGAGGCTACACCCGGGGGGGGACACGGGGGGACCGCCGAGCCCAGGAGGGGGCCGGGGGGCACAGACCCAGGCGGCGACCCCAGCCGGGCACCGACGTGCAGCGCGGGCGGCCGGGCCGTGCAGCCTCGCAGCGCCCGCGCGCGCGCGGCCCCCGAGCGCCGAGAGCGAGCGAGCGAGCGATCGGCCCGGCGCGCCCCGCCCACCCCGCCCGCTCCCGGCCCGCGGCCCGCGCGCTCCCCGGCGGCCGGCGACCCCGTCCCGGACCCCGACAGCTGAAGCCGCAGCCGCCCGCCGCCCGCCCGGCCGCCCCGCCTACTCACCGTCGGCGCCAGGCCGCTGCGAGGGCGCGGGGCGGCGGCGGCGGCGGGCGCGGGCTGCGCACTCTCTCCGGGGCCGACCCCGCCGCTCGCAGCCCACCGAGCCCCGCCGGCGGCGTCTACCAGGCCTCTGGGCGGCCCGGACCCTACCCAAGCACTTCCGGGGGAGCGGGGGAGGGCAGCGCTTTGCCACCGGAACTGCTCCCGGCCGGGAGCGGCCAGGCTCCCCCGAGGGGCGGGGCCTGTGAGCCCGCCCGGCGCCCGCAGCCCCGCGCTCCCCGCAGCCCCGCGCTCCCCGCTAACCCGCAGCCCCGCAGCCCCGCGGCCCCGCAGCCCCGCGGCCCCGCAGCCCCGCGCTCCCCGCAGCCCCGCGGCCCCGGGACGTGGCTCGCACCCTGGCCCCAGCTGCGGTTAGCATTGCTCCCCCTCCAGCCAGCCGCCCACTTCCACGGCGGCTCGGAGCATCCAGTCTAGCCCAGCCCGCTGCGATCACCCCCGGCTGGCTCGCTGGGAAGTGCAGCCGACTCCCGTGGAAGGCGAAGCGGACCACAGCTTCGGCTGCGGTAACAGTTTTCGTAGCCTTCCAACTCCTGGCGATCGGTGCTGGCCCCTACCTCTTACAGAGAAGGAAACCGGCCAGGTACCAAACCTGGTTTTAGCCTAACGTGTGCTGTGTGTACGACTCCCTCGCCTGCCCCAAGCCAGGCTTCTCAGAGCGTTCAAAGACAGGAGCCAAACTCTGCTCCCCGATATCGTCATCCTTTGCATTTTCAATGAAGGCCGAGGTGAGGGGCTCTGGAATTTCAGCTCCTGGATCCTGTTTTTATTTTTCTCCTTGACCAGTTAGCTGACCTTTTTTTAACGTGTGTGTATGTGTGTGTGTGTGTGTGTGTGTGTGTGTGTGGTGGTGGTGGTGGTGATCTCTGGGTTGTGGAAGTTAAAAATGTAATACATGGCAAACATTCCCGAGTACCCAGGACTAAGTCCACAATTCTTATACCTAACCAGTAGCAGGCACTAGAGAATTCTTACACCTAACCAGTAGCACGCACTACAGAAGTCCTGGGACTTTGAAGCTCTGACCAAAGGCGGTATTAGAACCGAGTCAGACAAGAGAGCCGACGACTTCCTCTGCCACAAAATCAGAAACACATCAAATAGTGGAGGTAGGTTTTCCATCTGACGCTGATCCCACAGACAGGAAAAAGAAAGAGCTCAAGCCTGGCCAGGTACCTTGTGCCTGTATTACCAGCAGCCTAAAGGCTGAGGCAGGAGAGTCCGGAGAGATTCTCGACAGCCTAGGCTTTACAGTGAGTTCCAGTCAAAGCCAGCAAGGACAATGTAAATGTAGCAAGAGCCAGAGAGAGAGAGGTCTCTTAGAATTCATAGTATCTGTTAAAACAAATACTTCAGAAAGACAGGGTAAAAGAAAACCCCTTATTACAAATTTAAGATACAAACAATCCCATCATTCACGCTGTATTTAAAAGAACTGCCTCGTGTTTTATGTAATTGGAGCAATGTTTGTAAATACTTCCATAATTCCCAAGTTCAAGCAGCCTTCCATGCCTCCTAGTACAATGAAGCAAAAAACCAGAGCCCACACAGACAAAACTTAGGTTCTCACCAGCCATTACCATCATCCCCCATCCCCAATCCCGGACACCCACACACCACACACACAGAGAAAAGACAGATACACACAGAGACACACACACACAGAAAGACGGACACACACACACACACACACACACACACACAGAAGACAGACACACACACAGTGCCTGCAGACCTAGTGAGAGGACTCAATCACAGTGGTATAACCTGGATTTAAAAGTGAATCTGTATTCTCGGGAGCTTTTCACGGCTTCTTAAGACAGCAGGTCTTAAATTGATAGTGCCTGGAGGGCTTGGTGAGCGAACTGCTGGTCCCTAGCCCCAAGCTCTCACTCACCCAGGATAGTGCTTCTCAAGGTGTGTCCCGGTCCAGCAGGCTCCTCGCCACCTGGGAACTTGTTAAAGATGCAAATGAGCAAGGCCCGCCCCAGACCTTGTAAGGCTGTAATTCTAGGATAAGACCTTGTTTTCAGTGCCCCCCCCCCCCCACCTAACCAGGGCATTCCGGTAAGCTCTGGAGTTAAAGACCTGCAGCATTCTGGAAGCCCATCTTTCACATTCTCATTCTCTCTCTCTCTCTCTCTCTCTCTCTCTCTCTCTCTCTCTCTCTCTCTCTCTCTGTGTGTGTGTGTGTGTGTGTGTGTGTGTGTGTTCGTCATAAATCTTCCGCTACTGCATAGGACCGTTGTTGTTATTGTTATTTTGTTGGGAGAGGAAGAGTATTAGATTTTGTTTTGTAGCGTTGAGGATTGAAGTCTGTCTCTCAGTCCATTGGAAGCAAATGCCACTGAGCTACATTCCAAGTCAGGGGGGGGAAAAAGTCTTCCAGTTAATTAAATGACATTTTGGAACATTTGTATTCATCATTTTTCTCTCCACAGGAGAGGAGAAAGAGGAAAATGAGTTTTAATGGGCGATTCTTTTTGATTTGTACTGAAATTGAACCAGATAATTCTGGGTTGGGTGGGGGTGGGGTGGCATTTACTTGAGGAGCGCTTGGTGTTGAGGCTTTACCTGCATTTTCTAAATTAATCTTCACCGAGCCGTGAGGCTTTATGGTCTAACTCTTACAAATGGGAGTAGCTGAGAGCGAGGTGAGGTAATTAAGGCCACACTGTGTCCTTCCAGGCTGGAAACGGGTCTGCTCAAAGATCCCGCTAATTCCAAAGCTCCTGCCCTTTCCAGCTTGTGGCCGGGGCCTGGAGAACCAGATTCCAGTGGCTTTACCACCCCAGCTATGCAGCATGGAGTAAGCAATTTCATCTCCATTTTCAATTTCTCCGTCTATAAATAATGTTATCGTAAATCTGCCCTTCCTGCACTAGAATGTCAAAATAAACGAGGAAATAAAAGTGCCTTCAGCTCTTTGAAGAAAAAGCAGTAATAAAAGAAAAGCTGTAACAAGTTATGGTCACGTGCATTTAGACACACATCGAGTCTATGAGCCTAGGAGTTGAGCTTTTTGCTGGGTCTTCCCAAGATTCATATAGAAATAAGAGTGCCCCACCCTCCAAAAACAAAAGGTTGTTTAAATTCATTTGCCAGTGTCTCCTCTCCTAAAGGATAAAGAAGGTGACAGAGGATCATTGTTTTTGAGGGTTTTTTTTTTTTTGGTATGGTTTTTCTATTGTGTACCCCTGGCTGTCCTGGAACGTGATCAGTATAGTCCAGGCTGGCCTCCAACTCACAGAAATCCACCTGCCTCTGCCTCCCAAGTGCTGGGATTAAAGGGATGCACCACCAACACCACAGAGGATCGTGTGTGTGTGTGTGTGTGTGTGTGTGTGTGTGTTCTTTTTTAAGTGCACAGAGAACTGGGCACAGAGGTTCACTCATGTGCTTGTCATCCCAGTGGGTAACAAGTAGAAGCTGTTACAAGTCTGAAGCCAGCCAAACTTGATAGTGAGCCCCTGACTAAACTCAAGGAGCTGGGGTATAGCTCGGTGACAGTATATTTAACATGCCCAAGACCCTGGGTTTTGCCAAATGTGTAATCTAAATGACAGAATTTCTTTCAGGGGTCACAGATTCCACTGTGTTACCAAGCTAGCCTACCCTGATCCTAAAAGCACTTTTAATCCAAATTTTTTTTTCCTTTCCATTCCAAGCATCCCTCCACCCCCCTGCCTTCACCCCCACACCCCACCCCCCCACCCCCAGGAAGACTTAAAATTCCTGTTATTTTATTATGTAGGAGGATTTAGTTCTTAATCTTTATCTCAGGCCAGACTCCAGGCCGTCTTTACTGATTTACTGACTTCATAGCCGGGCTGCACAATCCCAGGGGGTGCTGCTCACAAAGGGTACAGCGTGGATGCTGCTCAAGGGGGTGCCAAGCACACAGTCTGGACCCAATGCCTCATAGAGCTGTGCAAGGCGACAGACGCCCCTGCCCCTGCACAGCAACTACCCCCAGATCCATTAAAGCCGTTTGTTAAACAAAGGAGCTGTGCACTTCGAGTCCACCCTTTGCCAGGCCTTGAGATAATGGGGTTCTTTGTTTATGCTCTGTTTGTTTTATCATAGGCCTGACCCTTTACCACCCAGCTTAAGTCTGATGCTCAACACTTCCCCGTGGCTGTTTTCTTCACAGCCTTCCCCGATACTGTCAAATCTTCCCGAACTCAAGAGCTTTTGAGATGTTTTAGTTTCATTTCCAGACGGGAACTACTAAGTCATCCCAGCTAGGGTCTACCTCCTGACCCTCCTGCCTCCACCTCCCAAGTGTTGGGATCACAGGCCAGCGTCACTCTGCCGGACTGCAGTGTTTCCAATGTGAAGATGATCACGCTTGGTCTACCTCGACTCTCCTCCCTTCTCCGGCATGGTATTAGACAAGGCACTGCTTTGGGTAGGAGTGCTGTGCACAATACACGTATTTAAGTGTGTGTAGAAAGATTTGAAAATCGGCTCTAGAACGTGTTTGTCCCAAAGTTTTGTGCAATAATAATGATAACGATAATAACAAACCCAAAAGGTTTTTTTTTTTAAAGATTTTTCTCCTTTTGAATTTGTTTTGAAATTTATTTTATGTGTGTGAATGTTTTGCCTGTGCCCACGGGAGTCAGAAGAGAGGACTGAACTTAGAGATGGTTGTGAGCCACCGTGTACTTACAGGGAATTGAACCCAAATCCCCTCTAAGTGCATCCTTTGCTCCTAACCATTGAGCCATTTCTCCAGCCCCAAGATTTGCTTTATTTTTAATGATGTGTGCAGGCATGTGTCTGCATGTGAGTATATACTCGTGAGAGCAACTTCCCGCGGAGGTCGGAGGTTTCAGATGCCCTGGGACTTGAATGTCTCTTGATTGGGAGCCACCCACCATTGGTACTAGGAACACTTGGGGGCCCCGGGGAAGCACTATGTGGTTGTGGTTGTTGTTATTGGTGGGAGTAGTGGTCGCTTTTGTTGTTTGTGAATTTTGTTTTGTTCGTTTTTGTGTGTAT